CTACCCATGCTACCCATGCTACCCATGCTACCCAGCTCTCTCGCCCAAAACCGGCGACTACCCATGCTACCCATGCTACCCAACTCTTCCGCTCAAACCCGGCCGCGACCCATGCTACCCATGCTACCCATACTACCCATGCTGCCCAGCTCTCCCGCCCACAACGGCCGCCATCCATACCCACGCGGCTGAGCCGGCCGAGCATCGGCGCGGGCAGTTTCCGGGTACCCGGAGCGGCCTTCGGGCAGGTGCGAGTCAGATGAGCATTAGCGGAGCCTTGGAGGGCCATCGGCGGGCCATCAGCCCGCGGAATCGGCGACTGCGGAGCCTGCGTGAGCCCGAGCGGGCGGACGGATGAGCATCATCAGCACTAGCGGGCGGGCGGACGAGCATCATCAGCATCAGCGGGCGGGCGGCGAGCATCATGAGCATCAGCGGGCAGGTGGATGAGCACCGTGAGTATTAGCGGGCGGGCGGATGAGCATCGAGAGCTGGGGAGGGCCAGCGGGGGGAGCGTTGGGTAGCGCGGGTAGCGTGGGTAGCGGTCGGCAGTGCTGGGTAGCGCGGGTAGCGTGGGCAGCGCGGGTAGCGTGGGTAGCGCGGGTAGCGTGGGTAGCGNNTGATGCGGGCAGCGTTGGCAGCGCGTAGCAGGTCGCGGGTAGCCGGCGAGCAGCGGCAGTGGGCAGCAGGGGGCAGATGAGCATCAGCCGGGCAACGTGGCTAGGCAGCAGATGAGATCATGCCTGACTCGGGCGTAGTTTGACGTCAAATGTTCAGAAAGAAGCTGGAAAACTCAAGTGAACGTCGAAACCGTTTTTATCATCGCAAAGTCAAGAGACGTGTCCGCAAGTACATGAGTGCAACTGAACAGCAACTGAATCAAGAGACATGTCCGCAAGTACATGTGAGTGCAACTGAACGCCAACTGTTTTTTACCACTGCAAAAATCAAGAGACATGTCCGCAATTACACGTGAATGCAACTGAACACCAACTGATCTTGCACAGCACAACATGTCTGCCGCTGAAAACATGTCCCTCCTTCACTGCACAGCCCCCGATTTCTCGCACTGAGCCAGGCTCGCTGGTGTGTGCCAGCCTCGCTCCGGCAAGCCCGGCAACCTGGCAAAGAGGCCCCCCGGAAGTTTGCCAGCCTCGCCCCGGCAAGCCCGGCAAGCTGGCAAAGAGGCCCCCCGCAAGTTTGCCAGCCTCGCGCCGGCAAGCCCGGAAGTTTGCCAGCCTCGCCCCGGCAAGCCCGGCAAGCTGGCAAAGAGGCCCCCCGGAAGTTTGCCAGCCTCGCCCCGGGCTTTGCCGGGAACACCCTGTTTGCCAGTTTGCCGGCTTTGCTAGGCACCCGAGCCCTGGCAAACTGTCCCGGCTCCTGTTTGCCAGTTTGCCAGCTTTGCCGGGCACGCGAGCGCTGGCAAACTTTCCCGGCTCCTGTTTGCCAGTTTGTCGGGGGCACCCGAGCCCTGGCAAACTGCCGCGGGCTCCCTTTGCCAGTTTGCCGGCTTTGCCGGGCTACCTTTGAGACGAGATGAACGAAACATCAGTGGACGAGCGGACGAGCATCAGAAGGAGCATAGGAGCCTCAGCGGATGCTCAGCGGGCGGATGAGGAGCATAGCGGGCGAGCGAGCATGGGGCGCGGGTTCCGGGGGTGTGGGCTGGCGGGGCACGGATGAGCATCAGCGGGCGGGCAGTCGCCTGGGGCCGGCGGCTGGCGCGGGCCGGCGCGTGAGCCGGAGCATCGGCGGGCCGGATGAGCATCAGCGGGCGGCCGGATGAATCAGCGGGCGGCCGGATGAATCAGCGGGCGCACATCATGAGCATGAGCGGGCGGGCGGATGAGCATGGGTGGGCCAGATGGGCATCAGAGGGCCATCAGCGGAGCCTCATGAGCATCGCCAGTGCGGTGGTGGGGTATGGTGGGGGTGTGGTGGGATGAGCATCAGTGGAGCCGGATGAGCATCAGCAGGCGGGCGGATGAGCATCGGCGGGACGGATGAGCCACGCAGCTTGTCAGCTCGGATCAAAAACGAAAACGTGCCCAAAAAAACTCGGCTCACTCACAGTCTACGGCAAACAGAACCCTGCAACTGCGCTCGATACCTGGGAAGTGGGGCTCCGCTCAGCAACTCCCAGCAAACAAGGTTGATGAAGAGGGACTTGAGAGGGGGGGGTAGTGGGAGGGGCTCAACGGGCTAAAGGCGTGGAGTTGCAGGCGCGGGCTCGAACACTCAACCCTACTCCTAGCAACTCCTACCCCTTCCCCGGCAGATGGCGCGCTCACTTGATACCTGAGAGGTGGAGTTTTGGGGTAAATTGATCCGCCCCCCAGGCTCCACTCGGCTTCTCTCAGAGGCCCTCCATCTGAGCTTCAAACGGGACAGATGAGGGCATCAGCTGGGCCTTGGCTGTGCATCCGCGCCGCTTTGGGGTCGACCGACATCAAACCTAATCCGCGCCGTGGCTCATTCCTAAGATTGGTCACGATTCTCAGGTTTTGCATGGTCTGAATGACTTTATGAGTCTCACCCGTGCCTTTTCTGACAGCATTCACCAAGCCTCTCACAGAGACAAACGCATCCCCGCTTTTAACGCATCCCCGCTTTACTTTTGCAATCCACAGCAAACCTGAAAAGGCATGAGGGTTTCGCAGCTGGCTGACAACAACCATTCAGAGGCTCCTTGAATTGACTTCACTGCACGTCCTGACTCACAACCATGCCCTGCAGTGCCTGGGTTTCACTCCAGGCTTCGGCCATGGGTTGAGGCGAGCCACCCCCTGACAGCTTCAGGATGCAAAGAAGCAAGACGAAAGCCACCGCAAGTGCTGCAGACACACCCAAGATCTCTCCGCAGCATAGCTTTCAACTCAGGCTATCGAGCGTCTTCGGAATCTGCACGACCTGTACACAAACAGTGTCAAACGACTCTGATGGCCCCGCCATTCTTCTTAGTGCGTTGAAATCACCTCCGACCGGCGCGAATCTTTCAGGATCTCCTGTAATGAAAAACGTGAGAGTGAAACTGTGGCGAGTTCCATTGAACATCGTCTTCAACGTCTCGCGAAACTCCTTTGCAAGGTTGTGCTTTCCGGATGTGGTCGCCTGGATGCCGTGGTTGAACTCCAGCACGTAGTCAATGCCCGGGTAACCGGCTGGGCTACTCAAAACCTGTTGCGATAGGGTTCCTTTCTTTATTGCCTGCCGCCATTTCTCCTCAAACATGGTTGTGGAATCGCATTCCACTAACTGCAGGTTCTTTGCGATCACCAAGTCGTCGCACCTCTTCCGTTGCCAGGAAGCACGATCATCGGAGCCCACATTGGTGATAGTCCAAGCTGCAAACTTTTTGTGAAACCACGAGAAGGTCAGCAGGGGTCCGACAAACTTTTGGAACCAGTACCTCGCAGTCTCATCGTGCTTGCCCCAGAGCTCCACCAGCTTGTCGTATTGCGCGTTCGCAACCAGCGCGGCAGCGCCAGCGCAGCAGAAATCAACCTCGTACTCGCGGGCATCCTTGCTGATGTAGGTGAAAAGGCGAGTGAGAAGCTTCTTGCCTTGGTTGTCCAAGCTGCCATGGAAAGCAGGCTGCAAGTGCTGCCAATCCATGGCCTCAGATTCCTGGTCCTTCACATACTTATTGAAGTCGGGTTCAGCTGACAAAAGGGCCCGCAGATTTCCTCCGATCTGGTCGTACCTAGACAGCATGTCGCCGTCATTGAATGCCGCTTGAAGCTCAGCTCTAGACCACGATTCAATATAGACGCAGCCGCCGCCGTCTTTAATAAATTTCGAGTAGTGGTCCCGTTCTGGGCTGCAGGCGAGCACGGTCTTGGCATACAACTTCAAGGTGGCGGTGGCTGACTCGAAAGCATCCACCAGGTACCAGTTGTTGGTGTTCTTCAGGTACGGGCAGCCTGCGGGGCTCCAATTTTGCATGTCGCGGCTCTGCGCCTTCCACGCGCCATCCTGGCCCTTGGTGAAAAGGAAGACTGCCCCACCCTCCCGGGCTTCATAGACGATGGCCTCGGGCTGCGGCATCCCTTCTGGCAGCTTGCCCGTCACCCCGTGCCAGAGGCCCAGCGCCAGATTGCGGCTCTTCCCGATGCCCGGGACGCCCAACATGGCCACGCGCTTGATGCCTCCCTTCATGAGCTCGAAGGTGGCCTGCCAGGCCCGGCGCGTCGTGTTGCGTGTCAATAATCTTGGCCCGCTCTGGCCGTACGGCTCTACGGGCAAGGACTTCTTGAGGTCGAAGACCTGCACGCCTGCAGCAGTGGCGCAGACAAAAGAGATCACTCACCCCAAAGCCCCCAAGCGGCCTTCACCCAAGTTATGTGGCGCAGCGTTGGCCAGCTCCCGGATGAACTCCGTGGCTTCCAGGTCGTCCTGCCGAGCTTCCCCAGTGACCCCAAGGCACCCCTCCAGTCACGCTCCGCTGAGGCCCCCGCCTGGAATCCGCTCGCGGCCATGGGCGGGGCAGACACAGCGGCGATGCGCTTGGCCAGTTTTCCGGCAGGGCCGGCAGCAATTTTGTAGGGCTCAGCCACTAGCCGCTCATAGGTCAGGTCCAAGACATCTTCACCATCCACTTGTTGCACGTGCAAAGTCTCAGCGACTTGAGGAATTGTCGGCAATACGGCTCTCGCCCAGTCACGGACCTGCAAGCAACGCAGACTGGAAGCTTCAAGCAAGAGACATCGCAAAGCGCCTCATCCGCTTTAAATTGCCTGATCTCCTCAGCTGTCTTTTGCAGCCAGTCCTGCGCCAATGGACACAGCCTACAAGATGCTCCAGTCTGCGAGCCTTCACGGACAGCCCGCCTGATCCAATCCTGCTTTGGCCTTGCAGGAGCCAGGCGGAGCTACCAAGCCCAAACTAGCAAGAACAACAGCTCCCTAAACGTGCCTCTGTCGCTGTGCGTTCCGCGTCCTCATTGGGGGATGCCTGAAGAAGCCATCCGTGAATGAACCCAATCCTTCAGAAACTCGGAAGTTGGCTCTGGCCTTCTCGTGGGATTCCGATGCAAAAGCAACTGTTTACTCTCAAATTCAACACGCTGGCACCTGCAGCGAACCCATAAACACGCAACCCTTGCACTGGCCAGGCCTCAGGTCTACGAACCTTTTTTGTCTCAGGCTCCTGCACAAGGGCAGGTTTCAGGCAGCTCGACCAAGAAACGCTTAATGGCGCGGTCCTCTGCTTCGGGGCCACCGGGACGTTTCTGGCCTTCCTCTGCCATTGCTGTAACACTTTCCTGCATTTGAGCCAAATCTCGGCAGCAAAAAACGGCGCAGTCCAAGTAAACGCAACCAGTCCATGTCCAAGTACACGTGCGAACAACAACAAATGTGCAGGCCGCCTCCCACGCCATAGGTTCTGGACCATGAACCCGCCTGCCAACAACATCTCAGGCTTTCGGTCACAAACTTGGCACCACTCACGCCACAGTAAGCGAGACCGCGCCTAATCCCTGCAGAAGATGGCGCCAGTGATGTGCAAACAAACCAATCAATCATCACGCAAAAAATCAAGAAGATCATTCCAGAAAACTAAACACATGCAAACAAACCCTTGAAGGTATGTGCGAATGCAAACTGCAATGGCGGAGTTGCTGGCGCTGCTGCAGGCACGGCTGCTGTTGCTCGGCAGCCCTATCGAAAACCACTTCTAAGACTTTGGTCTTCACAACCTTTCCCAGCCCAAAAAACAAAACCGCGAAGCCCTAGAAAATTTTGTGGACCAATTTCTCAGGCGCAACACGTTGAAGCGTTGGGCCGCCAGGGCGTCCTCCAGTCGAAATCAAACGGTATAAGGCAACAACCCCTGCAAATTCGGCTGTGTGGGTGCGGCAACAGCGCACTAAGGCCCTCAGGATCCCTCAGGTTTCAGCCAGTAAATCCAGTATAGTAGTTCCGGGCCGACCTGAAGCCACCAGCCCGGCGGATGGAAAAATCCAAGCTGTTGGACTCATGCGGAGCTCATGTTGGACTCACGTGGAGCTCATAGGGCGCGGGTTCCTCAGGGCGCCGGCTAGCGGGGCATCGACGAGCCAGCAGGCCCGAGGAGGGCTTGACGAACTTGATGGACTTGATGGACTTGATGGCCTTGATGGGCCCGACGGCCGCGCCGTTGTTTGTGGGCCAGCCCCCGCCATTGCTCAAACCCATCCTAAAGCACAACCCAGCCATCAAGGGCGCCAAGTCCGTCAAGTTTGTCAAGCCGCGTTTCGCCCGAGCCAGAAGGCCGGAGGAGGCCCGACGGCCGCGCCGTCATTTGCGGGCCAGCCCCGCAATTGGACGGACCGTCTGTGGGCCAGCCCCACAATTGCTCCAACCCATCCTAGAGCACGCTCAACAGCTCCGAGCTAGTCGCCCGGCTGGCGCCCACGTAGGTTGAAGTGCTGCGTGCCCGCGT